CCATTCAAACTTCTTTTGTTTTCCTGATTCGTCTTTTTGGGCGGCTGACTTCATAATCTTGAAAAATGGCAGGCACTTATTTGCTGATTTCGATATGAATCGATGAAGAGCTGCCACCCTTCCAGTCAACCTCTGTATGTCTTTTACTGATTTCGGTGGTTCCATCTTGGCAATTGCTCTGATCTTTTCTGGATTGACCTCAATCCCTCTTCGGGACACCATGAAGCCTAGAAACTTCCCGAATTCCACGCCGAAGATGCATTTGGCTGGGTTTAACCGCATTCTGTTCTGGTAAGTAGCACTTGCATTCTTTAAGCCAAACGACATCATGACATAGCAATAAATTTCATCACCAGCATAGAACGAGGTTTTCTCTTCGTCTTCTGGAGCCATTGGCACCTGGTGATACCTAGAATATGCATCCAGGAGGCTTAACCTCTTATTTCCTAAAGTCGCTTCAACTAATTTGTCAATGCTCGGCATTGGATAGCAATCTTTGGGGCAAGCTTGATTAAGGTTTGTGTAGTTGATGCACATTCGCCATTTACCGTTTGCCTTCTTCACCAGCACTGGGTTAGCCACCCATTCGCAATAATCGACTTTCCTGACGAAACCAGCTTGTAGAAGTTTTTCTACCTCTTCTTTAATAGCCTGAAGCCTCTCCCCCCCGAAGAGACGTCGTTTCTGGGCCACTGGTTTCTTCAATGGATTGGTGCTAAGCTTGTGCTGAGAGACTGAATTTGGAATTCCGGGCATATCTGCCGAGGTCCATGTGAATACATCATTGTTAGCTCGGAGAAAAGCTATTAGCTCTGCTCTTTCCTCCGTGTTCAATCTAGTTCCGATCTGCGTCTTTCGGCTCGGATCTCTGTCATCAATGAGCACTTCTTCAACATCTTCTACTGGAGCAGCTCTGGTTTCATCTTCTGGTCGATTATCTACGATCTCAACACCCATAACTTGCTGATTATCAGGAATTTGTTGGGGAATGGCCTCGGGTGTTTGAGCTTTGCCCTTCATAGGTTGTGTTACCGAGGTGATATAACAATGTCTGGCCACCTCCTGATTTCCTCGTAGTGTAGCTATTCCCATAGGAGTGGGGAACTTCATGCAGAGGTGAGATTGGGAAACCACAGCTCGGATTTCAGTCAGTGTGGGTCGACCGATAACAATGTTGAAAGAGGACGCCATCTTGACTACGAGGAAACGGACTGAAGGGGTCACGTAGGTCCGGCCACTCCCAAAAGCCACATGGAGGGTAAGAATTCCTTCTACTGGAACAGGCTGGTTGTTGAAACCATAAATAGGACCATCATATTTCTGCAACAACGCTGGATCCAGTCCAAGACTCTCGAAATAGTGGAAGTACATAATGTCTGGTGCACTTCCGGTATCAACAAGGACACGCTGTACTTCGTAGTTGTTAATCATGACAGAAGTGACCAACGGATTATTATGGGGTGTAACAACTGTATCGAGATCAGCAGATGTGAAAGTAATTGGTTGATTCTTCCACTCAGCATTGTCAATCTTCCGTTTCTGAGCTCGGTTCTAATGCTTAACCTCTCTGACATACAGCTTTCGTTGTTTAGAGCTCAGTCCACCTGCTTCTAGACCTCCCGTGATCATGTGTATGATTCTAGCTGGTGGTGGGAGCGGAGGTGGGTTTTGCTGATACCCCACACCTTGCCTGTTTGGTGGGTTACGGGCTCCTTGAGGTTGTGGTCCTTGTTCTCTGACAAACCGTGGTTGTGCAGCTCTCTGGACGTACTCATTCAGCATTCCCTTCTGAGCTAGACTTTCCAATTCGGACCTTAAACTGTTGCACTGCTCTGTAGTATGACCATGATCTTGATGAAAATCACAGTATCTGGTATGATTTCGGGTAGCAGCAGCAGTTTTCATTGGGTCAGGACGCCTTAAATCCATTTTATTCTTGATCTGCATAAAAATTTGTGATCTCGGCAGATTGAAAGGAGTCCAATTAATTGGAGGTTTACCTGCAGATTGTTGCGGGGGTGTTGAGTTCGGTCTTCCGAATCTCGATGTGGAGGTCGGCATCGAACCTCGATTCTGCGCCATCCTCATCCTTTTCTGGCTCAGATTATCCTCTCTCCATTTTGGGTTCTGGTTCTTAGAGGGAGGTGGGTTTTGCGCCAGGGCATACTCTTCAACAGTTATAAATTTCAGAGACCTATCATTCACCTCACTAAAGGTAGTGGCAGAATGTTTGATCAGGCTGTCTCTGAACCTATCATGTTTAAGACCGGCAATCACAGCTACAATGCCCACAGTTTGGTCGAAGGAATTAACCTCCAACACTGCATCATTGAACCTGCTCATGTAGTTCTTCAGGGACTCTTCGTCCCTCTGTTTAACTCGCATCAACTCAGACGTAGTTTTCCTAATCAACCTTCTACTGGAAAACTTAGTGGCAAAGGCAGATGTCATTTCTGTATAAGAGCTGATTGACCTCGGAGGTAGACTGTAATACCACGTTCGAGCATTACCTCGCAGAGTAGAGGGGAAGATTTTGCACATCAACGCGTCAGAGGCGTTCTGAGCTTGCATGCAAGAGTAGAAAGCATGCAGGTGATCATCGGGATCCTTCGTCCCATCATAAGTCTCCAGTTGTGGTATTTTGAAGCCAGCAGGATAGGGTTCCAGTGTGATGTTGGTATTTAGAGGGTGAGGTATAGAGTCAGTAGCATGGTGTGGGGGTGGAGCACCTCGGTGTTTAGCTACTAGCTTTTCCAAGCTATCGAGGCGTCGAGTGACATCACCAGGGAGGGGTTGCTGAGCGGGTGCTATATGTGATTGACCTTGAGATTCACTTATAGCAAGAGCATGTTGAACCGGTTGAGGATTTTGTTGTGGAGATGGGGGTTGTTGAGCGGGGTTCAGTAAATTAATGAGGGGATCACCATGATTGTTTCTAGCTAAACGCTAAGCCAGTACCAACTGAAAAACACCGAACTGCTGCTGCATGGCAGCAAGTTGAGCTGTCACTACATCTTGGTTGGCAGTAGAAGTTGAGTTGTGAGCTGAGGCGTGAGGTTGGTTTTCATCTCCTCATTCGGCATGATCAACAGGAGGGAACATAGTTGGGACCTGAGGTGGAAGCTGAGGTGTAAGTTGAGGTGGGATCAGAGGTGGAAGGTTGTTGGGGGGTTGACCTTGCCCAAGAGGCAGAGATGAATTGCCAGCTCGGACTGATCGAGTGTGAACCATGATGAAAGAGCAACAAGAAAGCTTTCAGTTCGTTTCCCACAGATGGCACTAATGTAATTGCACCAAACTAGAAGTCCTTCTTCAGTCCGCGTCTGCACTTCGAGATGACCTGCAAAGCCCCGAGGTGGAACTCAGGGTAGACACTCCGATGCTTAAGTTAGCAATAATCGGGGCTACCTTTAGGGCGGAGATAAAGAGAGCTTAGGGTTGGTTTCAATTACCTTTTGACGTGGCCTGGGGGGTATTTATAGGGTCC